ATATTTTTTCTTTTATCTGGTTCAATACCATAGCAATCACCATATATATATATATAATTCACATTTATATGTCTAATTATAAACTTGCATGATTTTAAATATATACATAATATTAGATTATATTTTTGTTAATTTTCTTATCATAGTGAAAGGATTGACAAACCTTTCGTCCACATATGCTACAAAATTTTATAAAAATCTGAGTGATAATAAGAATATTGTTCAAACTCAAGGGTATTTTGTAACTTTTTGTGAAATAATATAATTACCTTTTCAAAGAATTTATTCACAATTATAAGTAATTATTTTACTTTTTTTCACAGTTATATTGATGCGCCAACTTAATACCAAATTATTGAGACTGGAATAAGTTTTCTAAGCACACAAATCAAGTTTGAAATTGATGATGATACAATTGATGATATTTTTGAATTAAAGAAATTGAATGACGGCTATGTAAGTAAATTTTAATGTATCTTTGTATTGAATTATATTCTAAACATTATATATTAAATTATAGATTTTAACACTATATCAAATAAGAAACATGATATAATGATAAAAGTTATCTTATTATTACACAATTTACTTAAAATATTAATATTTTAATTGATTTATCATGCACTTTATTATGTTGTTGGTTTTTAATAATTCAATTAATGATGAATATATTGTTTATCTATACTATTTTTAGGAGAAATATTTATTTTGCAAAGCTCAAATTATAAGAATTGATGAGCTATCTGGTTGGCGATATCTTTCTCATTCTTATTGCAATAACAAGTTGAAAGAGATTAATGGGGTTCTCTATTGCAATCGTCGTAAAAAAGAAATCAAATATGTAGAAGAAAGGTAAACATGATATTATAATTTTTATAAATATAAATTATTTTTATTTTATAAAAATTAGATTGCGTAACTAATATGTAACGCAAATATGTATTTAACTTTAGGCTAAAACTTACCTTACAAGTGACAGATGGGACATGTATCATTACATTTGTAACATTCCATCATGATGTTCTTCATTTGATAAAAATTGGTCCTTCAGAATTAGCATCTTTGCAGGGTATGGTAATTTATGTTGAAATTATATTAAATTTTTAATATGTTTTTTATTTAATAGATGAAATTAAAAATTAATATGTATTTGCTTAAACAGAATGCAAACAACAAGGAGATTTCGCTTGCAATCAAAAGATTAATCGGTAACTAATATTTAACGCAAATATGTATTTAACTTTAGGCTCAAACTTACCTTACAAGTGACGGATGGGACATGTATCATTACATTTCTAACATTCCATCATGATGTTCTTCATTTGATAAAAATTGGTCCTTCACAATTAGCATCTTTGCAGGGTATGGTAATTTATGTTGAAATTATATTAAAATTTTAATATGTTTTTAATTTATTAGATGAAATTAAAAATTAATATGTATTTGCTTAAACAGAATGCAGACAACAAGGAGATTTCGCTTGCAATCAAAAGATTAATCGGTAGAAATATGTGTTTTCATGTTAAGGTTACAGAGTTTAACATAAGTAAATGCATTGAAGACCACAGTTATTAAAATCGTTAACGATGATGTGGATGATACAAAACTCAATAGGTTGTTATTACTAGCTGACAGAAAAGTAACATATCCATAATCTTACTAATAAAATTATATTCCTCAATAGTTTGCAATGTATTAATTATTGTAATAATAAATTTATTTTTATTAAAGGATAAAAAATCACTCAATATGACTTTGGTTAATGGCAATGACAATCCATCAATTCAATGTACTCTAGACTTATTGACATCTAAAAATGGTACTGATAAAAATTTGAAGAAGAAGGTGTTCGCTAAATGTAATATTAGTTTCATTATTTCAAAAATTAAATCATTGACATGTTGTACTAAGACAAATGTATTATTATCAAATGATAAGAAACCAATTAAATTAATTGAAAATAGTATCATTGATAATCAATCTGATGAATTAACTTCAGATTTATCTACACTAATATCCACCGTTAATAGCAAAGGCAAAAAGAAGATTTTAGATCTTTTGTCTATTGCTACACTTAACTCTTCTGCATTTAAAACTACACATACAACTAGTGAAAAAATAAGGATACAACCAGGTTGGCTTATTTATACATTAATTATTTTAATATATAACTGTTTAATGTTAAATTTACTAAATAAATGTGTTTTCTATTTTGCAAAAATAGACAAAGAACCAGCTCTTTCAACTTTCAAGAAGAGGATTAAGATGGAGAAAAATTAATCACAAATTAATGGAGCTCTTCTTTATATTTTGCTTATAACATTTTATGATTGGTTGATTGATTGAGAACTTTTTTGGTGACGCATCATTTGCGAATATAATTTTTTTGAACATCAAATAGTCTTATATCTTAATTTCTTTTAAGTTGCATTTATTATATTTTGATTATCTTCATTTTATTCATTTCTTATAAAAATTTAGTTTAAATGATCATAATTTTAATGATAGGTTTCACATAAGTTGTTTAATATAGTTATTTCTAGGCAAATATATGTTATCTAACCTCACTAGGGATGGGTGACAATGAGGTTCATGTTTCGAAGGGGGTTGAATTGTTAGATATTAAAAATTATATTCAGATGAGAGTGATTGAAACATGACGAAATATAAATGAACTGCGGTAAGACCGTCTTTAGCATGGGCTAAAACACTAATATATATTGAATAAGATAGAAAAACCAACTAGATCCAATTTAGTTGAGACATATGAGGCAGTATAAAAAATGGCAGAGGATCTAACCAAATAATGACTTAGGCAACTAAATGGGGGATGAAACAAAAAGTCAAAGCTTGTTCTCATCCATTTGGAATTGCAATAATTTAGGCCCTACGAACTTTTACTAGTACAAAACAGCTCTGTCCAAATAGCCCAAACGAGTTTAACTATTTGGGATAATAAACCCAAACGGTTATAACCGTTTGGGCTATTAAAAAACCCTAAACGGCTGAACCAATCGGTTTTAACCATTTGGCATATCTCAGCCCAAACGGTTAAAACCGTTTGGGAGTTTTTATTAGCTTTTTCAAAAAAAATTAAAAGCCTTTATTCTCGTCCGTCCACCCCCCCCTCAAAAAAAAAATTTTCATACCACCGGCCATCCCAAAATTTTAAGACTGAACCTCCCAAATCCCTAACCCCCTCATTCGATCGCATTGGAAATCCCTCATCCGACCCCGTCGAAGTCCGACCGTGGCCGCCGGCAACACACCTCATCTTCGATCGCCGGGGGCTCCCTCATCTTCTCCACGGGCCATAGTACACCATCCGCCTCCCTTATCTTCGTCGGCACTCCTCCGTCTCCATTGTTTCCATCGGCACCCTCGTCCTGCTGGTCTTCGCCAATGTACCTCGTCCTTCCGATCTTTGCTGGGGATGTCGCTCCTCCGCCTCCTCCTCCACCGCTTCCTCCTCAGAGCTCAGCAGCATCTCTAATCCCACCCCTTGATTTATCTTTTCTCTGCTAAATGCTATATTTGATATTTTTGGTTCTTTTGATTAGATTTATTGGATGTACAAAGTAACTTCTCAAAAGCCAGACCCTTGTAGAAAAACCCATTAAGGTAAGATCTCTCTGTTTTCTTTTATTCAATTCATTAGCAGATTAGTAGAAAGTAATCACAATGTATTTAGCAATTAGCGTTTATTTAAGTTGTGAGAGGAAGTTATTAAATTAATGGGTTTAGTGTCTTGCAAGTTTATAACTTAGAGAACTATCATTTTTTATTCACATGTCTCCTAAAGGAAATTTATAGTTTTTCTAATTATTTTTTTAAACAGTGATATTGCAATCTAGTAAATTAATTGCCAGATATTACATTTTTGTCTCACCTTTTAGCTTTAGCATTTCTTAGACTTGAAGATTTTTTGGTTGTGCTTACATGCTTAAGTTAATTGAGGATTAGAGTGCAAAAGAATTGTATCAGTGTATTCTTTATTGATGATATAAATTAAGACATTTAATCTTTACTTGCGGTCCAACCAGTGTTCATGAATTTTATCAGAGCTTTCAACAAAGTATGCTGCATGTAGATGGACATTAGGAATGTGATCTCATCAGAAAAGCATCTTGATCAGTTAATCATTGGATGAAGTTATCAGCCATTCAGATTTAAACTAATTCATCATATTTCAACTGAATGACAAGCATACCGTTCGGACCTATGATTTATAGTTAGAAAGTCTAGTTTGAGCCTATAGCATCCCTGTTGAGCTGCTTCCTGGTTTATTAGATGAGGCACCAACGGAATTATTTTAAATAATGCTAGTCTTTCAGATTTCTCGAATAAATAGCAATTTGGGTTTGGCACCTTCATCTGCTCAAAGGAGGTGTTTGTGCCTAACAACACAAGATAGAACCAGAATAATAAGAGGGTAGGGTAACAAAAAGAATTACTTGAAGACTTATTGATGTATGAGAAATAAGTTGTGGCAGTGATCTGGATAAACACTAGACTATCTTTGATCATTAAATGACTTTCCAGGGCGTGCACAAAAGATGCAGTATAGATGGATATTCATTTTGCATGTTTTTCAAGTGGACATCACGTCATGTGCCTACAATTTGTTGGTAGTCTGGAATTTGTTTTTTTGTCGGTACATTATTTTTTCTTCCTTTGTTTGTTCCACTCTACCTTCAATACTTATGTATGATCCCTCTCTTTATTCTACTTCCTTAATAACTGATATTATACTTGGATGCACATTGCAGTTGAGGCTTTGTGACTGGCACCATTGATTCATCATTGTGAACAATTTATAACAAGGGTGCAAGACATTATTGTGGCAATATTTTTAGGCAATATTTTGTTCATGACGATGATACTGTTCCACAAAAGGCGAGTCCTCTCGGATTTCACATTAGTTTATTTACTAGTGATCTCGTAGAATTACAGAGATGGTTATGCATTGTCATTAAATAGTTAGTTATGTTTGTAGATTGTTATCCAAAAGAAGAGTCCAAGTGCTGGGAGGCGTCTGAGGGTACTATCACCGCCAATCTCCTTTCAAATTTGTTGATTTTGAGATGTAGCGTAGGAATAAATTGACTTGTATTTTTCTTTGTGGTTCAAGTGTATTTTCAACCTGATGATGTGCAAGCATGCATTGTAACATGTGGAGGCCTATGGCCTGCGCTCAATACGGTGATTAGGGAAATAGTATGCGGCCTATGCCCTGTGCAAGCATGTATGGTGTCGACAAAGTTTTTGGTATGTGCTCGTTTCGGGTGCTATATGATTACAATTTAATTTTTATTAGTCTTCTGTTCTCATGTTATAATGCTTATGGTATGTGCTCATTTTTTTTTTTGTCGTAGGCTCATTGAAGTTATGACGATCCTTGCCAATCTTAATCTTAGTATAGCTGTTATTTTATTTCTTTGTAGCCTGGAGTCTTTGTGAGTTAAATTATTTATGCATCTAGTAGTTTAGAACTGTGAATCAAAGATTTGTGAGCTACTTTATATTTAATGTTGGAGCTATCTTCTAATCAGGAGCTACGTCGCGAGGTTGCTAATCTTAGAGCTCGGGTAGCTAAGATGGACAGTCTCAGAGCTCGAGTAGCTGAGATGGACAGTCTCAGGGAGGAGCTTAGGTCTCAGATTGGTATTGAGCTTTTTGTTCTCTTTACCTGTTAGCTAATCTACTGAATACTATTTTTAACATTAAAATTTCTCCTATGACAGACATCCAAATCCTTTGCAAAACAATCCAGCATATGCAGTTGTTAATTATGTCTACCTATCTTAACCAGATTACTCGCAAATATCCTTTTGTAGGATGTTCATCATTAAATTTCTTTTAGAACCACTATGACTAACAAAATACAAATCTTCTTTTTTCCAGGCATTATTTTGTTCATGACGATGAAACTGTTCCACAAAAGGCGAGTCCTCTCGGATTTGCACATCAGTTTATTTACATGTGCTAGCATGTATGGTGTCGACAAAGTTTTTGGTACATATGCTAATATACACACTCTCGCATAAACGTGTACACTAGCATACATAAATATACATACATCTAATACTTATATACATATAAACATATACATAGACTTAACACTCAGACACATATCTACTCATACATTGTTATTACTTTACAGGTTGTGATTGTCCTACTCTCACTCCTAATAATCCACCATCTTTTATTCGTCCTGCTCTAATTCCTCAGCCCGCTGCCGATATATCACATTTTACTCATCCTGCTTCGACTACTAACACTTCTACTTCCAATGCTTAAGGTTTATCATAGGAGAATCTTGTATTGATATTTGCATACTTGAGGCGTTCGGGTTTGTCCCAGGAGAACATTCTTCGAGGAATTTCTTCTTTTCCTTGACTGGATTGATTATGTTGGACATTTTGGATATTAGAGACAAATATATAATATTAGATGCTTTTCATTGTGATATATTGAGTAATCATTGTGTATGTATATATTTTGTTTCTAATATTGTATATTGAGTAAACATTGTGTATGAATATATAACATTGGATATTTAGCAAAGTTTGAGAATATTTTGATTTCATTGTGAGATGTTGAGTATTATTGTGTGAGATGTGTACATAAACAAGTAGATAAATAGGGAAGCCAAAATTAAAAAATATTAAAATAAATAGCCCAAACGGTTAAAACCGTTTGGACACCGAACAGGCCAAACGATTAAAACTGTTTGGACTCAATAGTGTATGAGGCTTCTTAAAAGGGTTAAGTATCCAACTAAAAAATTTTAGTATCTAATTAAGATTTCACACATTTTAATAAAATCCTAGTAAATTGACAAATTTCTTTCTGTAATAAAAGATTCTTTTAAAACCCGTTTAGAGATCTATGCTTAGGGACTCTTTGGTTGCTTTCCTTCATTTTCCAAATACCACTTTTCTTCGTTTTTTGGTGTTTCCTTCACATTCATGGAAAATTGTTTCCTATGTTTGTTTCATCAAAAAACATGGGGCATAAATTAATTTTCACCACTTTCTTTAGTTTGATTCAATTTGAAGACAAGAAGTAGTTGATGTGTGAATTGATTTCCTCATTTTCTAGTGTTTGGTTCAAACTAAAAAATAGAAGAAACCATGGTTGTGATCACCACGGTGTGCTTACCACCCAAATAGTTTAATGAATTATTTTTAAATATAAATGGGGTGAGAATACCCACCATTTCAGGGACTAATTTCAATATATGACCAATTGAGTGCACTTGAGTGAGGAAATTTAAAATGTTTAACGAATTGAGGGTATAATTTTAAATATAAGATAGTAATTTGTAAAATTTATAAAGATTTGAGGGACTAATTATAAACATTTAAGAGAGTAATTCTAAATCTTTAACTGTTTGAGAGACTACCTTTTAAGTTTTTATGAACCCATTTGAGAAGCTAATTCAAAATATGAAAATTTGAAGTAGGAAATCGAAAGTCATTAAATATTTGGGGGAGTAGTTTTAAATTTAAGGAGGTAATTTGCAAAATGTTTAGAGATATTAGGGACTAATTTTAACTAATTATGGACATTTAAGGGTGTAATTCCAAACCTCTAAGATTTGATATACTAATATTAAATTTGATGAAGTAATTTTTAAATTTTTAAAGGATTTAAGGAAATAACTGCAGCTAATTATTAATTGACTAACTAATAGAAATATTTGTGAGGTTGAGAGAGTTTTATGAAAATTATCACTACAAAATAAGCTACCAATGTTAAGTGTAGACAAAGTTCAGAGTTCATGGGACTACTAGTCTTGTGAATTTTGCAGAAATAAAATCCATTGGACTAGTGGTTCTGTTTATTTACTGTGCATGCACAAAAAGGTGCATGCACAATAAACGGGAATACTAGTCTCGTAGATTTTGTAAAAATAAAATCCACAGGACTGGTAGTCTTGTAGATTTCCTGGTAACAGCCTTTTTATTTGCCTCAATACCTATATCTTCTTGCTTTGCAAGCTCAGCACAATTGCTTCCATTCACTGAACCTGTAAACAGATATCTCTGAATGTTAAAAACAATATAAACAACCTTGTTAAGAGATTCGACCACAAACTTCCATGGCTCGTTAATATAGCATATCCTAATGACTTGTAATAAGCCTACATGAACAACTGAGTCTAACATGAGCAATGTTTCTTTCTTTCAAGAGTTCAAACTTGATAGAGAATTCCTCTGGTATTCTTTACAAAAACAATAAGCAAGCTTGTACTAAGCTAGCAGTTGCTTGTGTCATCACATACTCAGCATAAAACATATGGCTGGACCTATAGAATATCTTCTAAAATCTGTGAAATAACAAAATAAAATATAGAGAGGAGGGGAAAAAAGTCTAAGTTGTAATAAATCCACAAGTTTTGTTTCCCACCGTTTAATGACATGTAGTAGAGAGTAAATTATACATCGAGAACACACAACCTAGAATTCATCCCAATCTCATTTGTGTCGCTCCGGTTACCCATGAAGTTCATCGTCATCCTTTAGGAAGTTGAGTTTGCACGAGTTGGCTGTCTGGTTGGGTGTGTGTTTATGATGGACCACTAACATGTTGTGAAGGCCTAGCTTCATCATCGTTCCTACAAGATCCTCATCATCACCGTTGACTTGGTTGAACCATCACCTCTCGACCATCATGGGGATCCTCGTGAGTTCGATTCAATACTTTACAGATTCTCCACAATATCCCTTGTAATAGTAGTTGTGATGAGCCTCTTCCTGATTTCATCAGACCCTTGTTTGCAATGGCCTCGCTATCATCAAAAGCATTTTTCTGAATTTAAAATAAAAAATTACAAGTCTTAAGCAATTGTAGCAATATGAAACAAGTGATGATCTTACCATCCAATTAAATTACAAATTCTCTCTCATCTAAACCCCAGAGCACGTATCTCTTTTGTAGGGCACATTGTTGATCATCATTGAGTGGAGGACCGTTCTCATTTATAATCCATCTTCGAGTAATCCTCCAATACCATGTACTATTTTTCTAAAGAGGAGGATCAAGAGATTGTATGATACATAAATAACAATCATTCAATCTGTGTGATGACCTCCTTTTGTGATCTTTCTCTCTATTTTCTTAACAAATCATCACTACAAAGTCATGCAAATTCACATGCCAATTTTATTGGTGTTCCCATCCTTATACTTTTCATAATAGTCAACCAATATCTCCTAAGCTATTTGATCTTGTGAAGCACATGAATTGTGGGGGCCACATGGGGGAATCTTGGGTGGGGAAACAGCGTGGAGAACCATCGGTTTTTTTGTGTGTGCATCTTGGACGTTCTGGCCCACCCGAATTGTCCTTTTCAGCTGTGAAACCGCATGGGAAGAGGAAACTGCGTGGGACGACATCCCATCACTCGTTTTTTCAACTTGGGGGCTGTGAAAAAAGTGGGAACGTGTTTTTCGATTCCGCGTGAAAAGCTTAGTGCGTGGGGGCCTATAAATACCTGGTTTTTCTAGTTTTTCGTGTGAGCAAGAACAAAAGTTGGGGTGTGCGAAGTGCAAGGCAGAGACTTCTGTGCAAAGGTAGCTATAAAAGGAGCAGTGCAAGGCAGAGACTTCTGTGCAAAGGCGGCTGTACAAGGAACAGTGCAAGGTAGGGACTTCTGTGAAAAGAGGGGTTGCGTGCAAGTGCTAGGAGCCAACTTTTGGGTAAAAGAGGGCTTCATTGCTGCAAAGGACAAACGCAGAAGAAAGTTTGGCTGTTGTCCTTTGGGTTTTGACGGTTGTTCTTTGGGTTTTGGTTGTTATCCTTTTATGAGAGGTTTAAGAGATTGTGTGAGGGTTTAGATTGTGAAACCCTAGTTGTATTATCTCCCTCTAATAGTAGATCTCCCCTCCCCCCCTCCTTACCCCGTGGACATAGGCAATTTGTCGAACCAAGTTAAATTTGTGTTCTTACCATAATTTGTAATAACTTGTAGGTTCCCTCGACAGGTCAGTCCTAAAACTGATGAGAGGGAGAGCTGATATATCACTTTATTGAGATATTTTACTTTTGGTTCTTGTTTTCTTTGTGAAACAAGGATTTAGTTGAGATCTACTCTCTTGTTGTACTGCCGAAGTACTGCCAAAATTTGCACTGCACACAACAAGTGGTATCAGAGCTCCAGGTTGGACTTGGAAACTTGTTCAAAGGATTCGATGTTGGATTCTTATTTGAAGAGTTAGATTTACAACATGGATGAAACAAGCACATCAGGATCATCTCTTATGAAGACGATATATAGTTTGAGCATCAATAACATGAAGATCGATGTTCCGAAATTTGATGGCAAGATCAATTTTGGTTTATGGAGGTGCCAGGTGATGGATGCGTTGGACGCTCAAAACTTGGAAGAGACTCTTGAGTTGCAAGAGAAACCTGGTGATACGGAAGAAAAGGTTTGGAAGAAGATAAATAGTAGGACTTGTGGAGTTATTCGGTCATGCTTGACGTCGGATCTTATTTATGATATGATGAACGAGACGTCGGTGAAGAAGATGTGGGAAACACTTAATGAAAAGTATCTTACTAAGAGCATTGAGAATCGGCTTTACTTGAAAAAGAGGTTTTACCAGTTCAAGACGAAGAATGGAGTTTCCATTAGGGAGCATGTTAACAACTTCACAAAGCTACTTTCAGATATGGCCAATGTGGATATCATGGTTGAGGATAAAGATAAGGCGATGCTACTTTTGTGTTCGTTGCCTGAGAATGATTATGGTACTTTTTTCCTAACTATGATTAATGGAAGAACTACTGTTAGTTACAAGGAGGTGACATCAGCGTCGGTGAACTATGAGTTGAGGAAGAGTGTCGATGAACCCTCCGAGAAGGCACCGGGAGATGCATTAGTAGTTCATGGACATAGTTCAAACCGAAGCAGGAGGTCGCAGTCTAGAGGGGTACATCGTGAAATTCGTAGGAATCAGTGTGCTTTTTGTAAAGAGGATGGATATTGGAAAGCTGAATGCCCAAAGTTAGATCGAACCGAGAAGAATAAGGGGAAAGATGTACAAGCTTCAGAGGTGAGTGTTGTCAAGACTAGTGGCAACAATTCAGATTCGGATTCTTCAGGCTATTCATTATCCACACTACCATTAGTTTGTGATGCCGACTCTACGGAGTGGATGTTGGATTCGGGTGCTTCTTACCACGTTTGTCCTAGGAGGGATTGGTTCTCCAGCTTTCAGGAGTTGGAAAGAGAGGATGCTGTACTCATGGGTAATGAACATGCATGCTCTATTGGTGGTATTGATACTGTTCGGATTAGGATGAGTGATGGAATGATATGAGAGTTGGATGATGTGAGCTTCATTCCGCAATTGAAAATGAATATCATTTTACTTGGAGCTTTGGAGGTAACAGGCTATAGGGTGACCTTGGTGGATGCATGCTTGAAGGTCATATTAGGGTCCATGATTGTGATGAAGGGCGTCAGAAAGAGCAATTTGTATTATTTGCTCGGAAGCATGGCGATTAATAGGGAGCTGATGATTTCATCAGATTCGGCTAGACTGTGGCGTTG